CCGCGTCGGCGGCCTCAACGCGCGTCCGAGGCCAGCGAGTGGGACGGCAGCACGAACCCAGCCGACTCGACCGTCAGCTCGACCCTGCTGTCCAACACGACGCCGCCGCCGAGCAGCCGCAAGAAGGCCGGCGGCATCCGAAAGGTGTACAGCACGGCCGACCGGACGGCCGACCGCGAGCAGGAGAGGATCCGGGCCGAGGCGAGGAGGCTGGCCGAGCGGGGACGCGCGGCGGGCTCCGCGCGAAGGGACTTCAGCTACCAGCGTGCCGACAGCAACGTGTCCGAGAGCGACGTCGGTCTGCAGCGGGGCAGCCGCGTCGGTCTCATTCGCGAGGAGAGCGAGAGCGACATTGGCACGAGGAGCTACCGCAACGGCATTCCCGTGCCCAACAGCCCCAGCGCCGTCGGCAGCGACTATGCCGAGGAGAAGCGCAGGAACAGGCGCGCCGGGTACCGTCGCGAGAGATAGAGGATTGCCTGGGACGGGCTTGATTGAATTCGACGGGAACGACAAGCATGTTTCCTGGCTCGGCGCGTCCGGGAGCAGGAGGCCTCTGCTGACACGGCAGGGCACTGGATTCATGGCTTGGGGCGTTGGGATTTGCTTGGGATGCGACACAGGCGGAATGAGCCTCACATGAGACGCGAGCATGGACTGTCACACGTATGTAGAATAAATGAATATCTATTGCATCATGAAAAGGTAGCTTCTTGGGAATCGTGATGTGGTGCGACATGTCCGGTCTGGGCTGGCACATTGCACCGCTGCTGGTTGTCGTGAGGCAGGCCCCTACATGTCACTCTCATCCCTTGTGAGGCAAAACATCAACGTCAACTACTTTGGCCGAACATCGTAAGCCTGATCACAGAGACTGAGTAGATCAAATACTGTGGCCACATTGTGGCTTTTGGGCAGAGCAGCCGAAATATCCGCAAGGCTGGACAAGCTGAACAGATAGACACTTGCTGCACCCGACTGGGGGATGAGGCACTGCACGCTGGCAACAGCCTGATGCTGCTGCTGCGCCTTGCATCAGCTCACGCCACCCCCAAAGCCCAAGCGAGTACTCTCACTGCTCACTGACGAACCAACCGACGAACTTGGCCACTGGTCCGGAGGCCATGTGCATCTCTTTCTCGAATGTCCTTCACTCCTCCTGGGCGTTTCACACCGACCGCATCGTCGTCTCAATCGACTTTGCGCCCCCCCCCGCCTATTCTTGGCACCTCACTCCTCTGTAGGTAATCACAAACGGCGTCAGGACCCAGCATGCGTCTCCTCGACGTCAGGTCGAAGCAGCTCGTCGACCGCAAACTCTTCGACAGCTCGAGAACGCGCTACGCAATCCTGTCGCACCGCTGGCAGGACGCGGAGCTGACGCTGCAGGACCTCGCGCGGCCCGACCATGCCAGCCTGCCCGGCTACGCCAAGCTTTCCGGCGCCTGCGACCTCGCGGCGAACAAGGGCCACGAGTACCTCTGGATCGACACGTGCTGCATCGACAAGACGAGCAGCGCCGAGCTGTCCGAGGCCATCAACTCCATGTTCCGCTGGTACGAGCAGTCGGCCGTGTGCTACGTCTATCTCGCCGACGTCAGGGCAGGCGGGCGTCCCGCGGTCTCGGCGGCGGCGGCGGCGGCGGCGCCCGAGATTAGAGCGAGCGAGTGGTTCAAGCGCGGCTGGACGCTGCAGGAGCTGCTCGCGCCCAAAAAGGTCGAGTTCTACGACGCCGACTGGCAGTGCATCGGCACGCGGACGTCGCTGCAAAAGGCCATCAGCGAAGCGTCGAGCATCCCCAGGCGTTTCCTGTCGGGCGAGAGCCATATCCGTTCCGCGAGCGTCGCGCAACGCATGGCGTGGGCCGCCACCCGCCAGACGACCCGGCTCGAGGACCAGGCGTACTCCCTGATGGGCCTCTTCGATGTCAACATGCCGCTCCTGTACGGCGAGGGGAGGAAAGCGTTTCTGAGGCTGCAGCAGGAGATCATGAAGAACTCATCCGACCAGTCGCTGTTTGCGTGGGGCAAGATGAAGATGACCGTCGTTGATCGCGAGCACTGGACGATAACGGAGCTCGAAGAGGTCACGAAAACATCAGGAAGCTATTCGGGCCTGCTAGCCACGACACCGGCGCGGTTCACCGGCTGGGCGGACCGTTCCATCGCCGCGACCTTTGGCCCAGAGTCGAGGATTGATCTCAGGCAGACGAGCTCGGGGATTCAGATGCGTGTCCCGGTGATCTGCGGGAGTCAGGAGAACGTCCGCATCGCGCTGCTCAACTGCCGAAACGTGGATGACGACAAGCATTCCGTCATGGGTCTCCTCATGGCGCGGCAGCACGCCGCGGCCGAGTGGCACCGCGCGAGGCCCGTCATAGCGCCGGCCGGCGGCTCGGATGACCCCGTCTACGTGGTACCATGGGAAATAGCTCAGTATGCGGAATACGAAACCATCGAGACGCTGTCCACCTCGACCTGGCACAGTGCCCTGCAGTTTCCCACCCCCAATATCGATGGAACATGCGGCAGCATCACCCTGCAGCTTGCCGACAACCTGCCCGAGCGCCTTCACGCAGTGACGCCTCGATACCGCTTCCGCAAGGCTGATCGCTCCGTGTTGCCGGCGTTTGATGACCTTGGCCGTTGGAAAGACGTCACGCTGTTCTTCGGACCCAAGTGGTCGCAGGACGTCGAGCCAGAGGCCGAGCGAGGATTCGCCATCGTCATGAGGCCGCGCAGCTTCAGCGAGGCGTTTTGGACCCTGTCCTGGCACTCTTCGCCCTTTAAAAGTCAAGTCGTGACGCTTCCCGGCGAGAACTACGTGTGCAGGTTCACGAGCCTCCACGTCCAGTCGGCCCTCCACCAGAGCCACGGCCAGTACGTGCTCGAAATCCGGCCTGGAACCCCGCCTTCGCTCACAACGCTTGTTTACGACGCCTTCTTCCGGACATCTACAGATTACAGAACCGCCATCGCCATCTTGCTCGTGCAACTCTACATCCACGCCCGCACGCTCAGCTCGGAGACATGGTCGAGCAACCTAGTGTTCCTTCTCGGCCAGGTCTATTTCTGCTGCGCCGCGTACTGGCAAAACTCGTGGCTCAGCAACCGCGTGCAGCTCGGGCGCTTACGGCTCCTTGTTTTTCGACCCATGAACGTCCTCCAACACTTGACCTCGATCGGGGTCTGCATTCCAGGTCCCTGGCTTGGACTGCCCAATGGCTACAACGCGGACAAGGGGTGGCCGGGGGTCGATGATCTGCTGCAGCGCTGGGTGTGGCTATCGAGCTACTGCCTTGCGTTCCTATTCCTCTTCAAGTCGCGGATGGCTTTGGAAAGTATGTACCAACCGGGCAGTGCAGCGTTGCGGCCGCTCATGCTGAAGGGAAATCATTTTGCCGTTCTCGCGACGTATGTGTCTTGCTTTGCATACTTTTCCCTTCTGGGATACTTCTACCCGGAAGCAAATACCGTGCCCCACGTCAAGATGTTGAGCGTGGGGCTTGTGGTCTTCTGGGCGTGTTGGCCAGTTAGGGCGGCACAGAGGGTGATCGGTTAGGTAGATAGGACAGCCAACCTTAGAAGATACCCTGCGTGACCTACCAAAGGGGCATTCCCGCATTCTGAACTCTCCCTGATGTTTGGATCATGGACTCAGTCTTGTAACACAGGCAACATCGGCCTGCAATGATCGTCAGCCGTTGAACTCTCGTGAATGGACATGCATCATTAACCGCATTTATTTACTTCATCTAGTACTGGTACACCGGTCATAGCCAGTAATCGTCGACGAAGCGCCAGGCCCCGCCTTGCCATGTTCGTCGCTTAATCGACCGTTCTCCTGCGGAACAGCAGTTCGGCGTTGGGATCTGGCATTTTGCTCATAACCATCATCATCCCCTTCGGTCGACCTTCCCCTTCCTTAAGCCTAACCTCATACCTCAGCAGGAAATAGGCCAAGACCATCTTGATCTCGTTGCCTGCAAAGAACCTTCCAGGACAGGCATGCCGTCCAGCGCCAAAATTGACATTGGTGTCGCCGATGCTTGAGAATTGCCACCTGTGTCCCTCCTCCTCGGATGCCTGCCTCATCTTATAGAAGCGCATGGCATCAAACGTTTCGGGGTCTGCGAAGAATCGTTCGTCATGTGAGATGCCGGCTTGTGGTGTGAGAAGCTTAGTGCCTGGCGGAAGACGTGTGCCGTCAGATAGTGTGATGGGCTTCAAAACCTTGCGAATGAAGCCAGCTGCCACGGGTCAGCATCGGTCAACGAGGATAGAGCGAGAGAAGGGCTTACTGATATTGCCGGCGAGGCGCTGTGTCTCCTTCATAAAACTGTCCAGCTTCTTAAGCTTCGCCATGCTCTCTTTACGCAGCCAACCTTCTTCAACTTCCAGGACTTGGTGTGCTTCTTCGCGAAGCATCTCTTGTACCTCTGGATGAGCTGCAAGGTCGTACATACAGTCCGTGACGAGGTTCGTGGTCGTGTGAATCGATGCTGCGGCTAAGACGAGCTGGATATGCGCCTGTGCTTCGTAGTCCGTCTTCTCCTCTGTGGGTAGAGCTTCCACCAACCACTGAATCAGGTCATCCGGCTTCTCTTCCGCCGAATGCATCTCCATATCGCGGAGGCGCTCCTCAATGACTGGCTTCAACATCTTCTTGGCGACATCAATATCTTTCCGAATTTGCCTCAATTCTGACACGAGGTACTGCGCTGCTGGACGTGACCATTCAGGGAAGAACTGCAGCTTAACGACGGCAGTGAAAACATGGATAGCAAAATTGATGCTCGTGTCCATCCATTGCTCTGAGCGGTTGATGCTGGGACCGACGAACGCGCGGCCGCTGATGCGCGAGATGGCGCGTAACGCAAAAGGTTGGAACCTGACAGGCGTCCAGTCTGTGCTCGTCAGTCTAATGCTTAGTGTAAAGTGACGATTTTGGGCCTACCATTGCACTCAGGAAACTCCGTCGCGACAATCGACTCGAGTTCGCCTTTCAGCTGGGGCACGAGTCGTGCAAGGTTTTGAGAGAGGCGGACTCGAATGAGCGTTGACAGCATTTCAGCGTTGTGTCCTAGACCAAACTTGGTGTATTTGGTCATGAGAGCCTGGAAATAAGCATCACTTCTTGCAGTGTCAGGCAAAATCTCTCACCTCGCTCACGGCCTCCTGTGCGCTAAGTACATCCTCCGGCAATCCCTTAAGCTCGGGAAGATACTTCGCAGGAACCAACACCTGCACACCCTCGGTGGCCCTGATCTGGTAGATGGTGTCGCGAAACTAGGTTGTCAGGCGGCGCATACAAATCAAGGACGGTTGAACTGACCTTATTGTAGCTGTCGAGAATGAGGCTTTCAGCTGCAAAGATCCACTTGGTCTTTGCCGCCTTGTAGAACGGAACGTCTATCTGCCCGTGCTTCTTTGACTGGAAGAACCAGGCTACGCAGAGAATGGCGCCGAGGCCGACGTAGTAACTTAGGTTCTTGCTTCCATGCACAACACGCGGCAGCTGAAAGTCTACTATGTCTGTGGCTGATGCCATCTCGGATGACTCGTTCATGTCGTGGTGGAAGATGGAGGCGAATAGTGCTGGCGACTGAGGTTATGAGGAGTTGACTGAGGCGATACCCAATCGAGGGTGCAGGTCGAGGGATGTATGGAGATGGTGTAAGTTCGTCGTCAGGCCATGGGCCATTAGTCTACGCGCAGCAGCAGACAAGTAGTCAAATAGGGCAGAGCCTGTTGCTAGTCGCGAAGAGCAAGATCGACACGCGCTGCTACCGCATCAGAATCTCGAGAAACAAAGTTGATCGCGCGATGTGGTACAGTGACAGCATCCACCGTATTTCGACGCAAGAGAGAAGCAGGAGGAAACAAGTCAATCCAGCGACCAATGCTTGGAAGACGAGTCCCTAGATGAATGTCAAGAGGAGAAGATTCAAGAAACCAAGATGTGAAAGAAATCGGGATATTGAAGGCCGGGGAGGATTGTCCATCGGAAACAAAGACAGCGGCGTGAAAGAAGCGTCACAACAGGTAGACGAGCCATGGTAGGCGGATTGGTGCCACAAAGAGTTCCAGGCGAGTTTCCAGGAGCAAAAGCACAGGCCAGAGGGGACGTGAATTGGTGATCTGCTTCTTGCTGCTCGCTCTGTCTCTGTCGCGAGGGTCGTTCTGGGTCTGAAACGTGGACGATCGCCAGGAGGCTGGCGGCTGTCTGAGAAGGTTGCGTCCGTGTTGCCGATGGTCAGTCCGAGTGGCTAGTGCTTTCAACACTTGTGAAGGTTCAGCTCTGAGACGGATAGCCAATTGAACGGGGTACTTGATGGCGATGGCGATGATGATGATGCTGCATTGACCGTCCTGAGATGAAGTACCTAGGGAGAATAAGTTGTAATATCATCATCTGCACGGAGAGAAAGACACAGGAAGGCACCTTCAGGTAACGTGCAGGCCAGCAGCACCTTCCGAGATGCCTCTGAAGCCCGTGCTGTTGCAGAAGGCGCCACATAGCTTACCTAACATCACCAACCTCCCTGGTCGCTGCTCCTCAACCCCTCCTGGCCGAGACTGCCCAAGTTCCAGGTCCTTGACATCAGAGGGGCTCCCAATGTGCTTGGAACAACCACATCACAGCACTGCATTTCCAACTCGAGCTCAGTCTCCGCCGCCCTTTGGTTTCGATGCTCCTCTCGCCGTCGCATCGCCTCCACATTCGTCCCAACTCCTTGTACTATCTCCCACTCAGCCGCCCAGAGGAGGCCCACCCCTGAGGCCTTCTCGAAGCCACCTAGCGCCCCCCCCCCCAGCGAACTCCAATGTCACCTGGATCGACCGACTTCCGCAACCCCCTATCCCTTCAGAACCAGCCCCCAGATCTTCGCAAGCAACATGCCTCTTCTTGTCGTCTCATTCTCACCCTTGCCAAACATAACGCCTGCCCCGATTCCCAAACCAAACGCATGGCCCGCCAAGCTGGCACAGATGATCTTGCTCCCTCGAAGCGGCAGGTCTTACCGTGGGAGAGTGCATGGTGCTGTCGCAAGGCTTTTGGGTCAGAGGAGGGGTGCTCAGACTTCTCTCATACTTCAGGTGCAGATCTGCTTCACAGCACTTGAACCAGGTTCGCAAAGTGCCCTGCCTGCCTGCTTCGAACAGGCAAACTGCCTGCCTGGCATACGTAGGTCAATTTGACGCCGACACCGCTGCTTTCTCGATCTAGCATTTTCAGTGAAATCGAGGGGGGCTTTGAAGCCAGGATTCAAGCGACATCGCTTCTGTCAGCAATCGGTGATTGCCATCACTCCCCTGGATGTCGTTTGATCGCCAGGATGGAGAATTCCATTCCCGACACGAGTTGTCGGCTCCTCGCCTACGATTGCATGTTCTGTCCCAAACGCTTCTCTGCGGAAGCTTAAGGAATCGCAAGAACGCTTCCAGCCGCGAGAAAGCCTCCTGAAAAGCCTCCTCCACCCACGACCTAGTTGACAAGTCAAGTCCCAGCTTCCACACCTGACTTATCCGTCCCAACTCTGTCGCCAGCGCGTGCCTTTGTGGCTCATCATAAAAGACCTTTTCGCGGTCTGTTTGCGAGATCCCGTGGCTCCGAGGCCGGACCGAGGAAACGCCAAGAATAGAAGCGGAAGCCAACGGCTCTGTTTGTGCTGCTGACGGCGCCGAGGCTCGGGATGGGATGAAAGTTATTGCCACTCGGCAGTTCCGTTCACACAGCGCCTCTTCCATCGAAACCAAAGAAGCGGGGCCGGTGCAAACTGTATCGCACTTCGGCGTATCACTATGGTGTCCTCTGTGACTTCCATAGAGCAACGGTGTCATCGCTCTACCAGACTTGGCACGCTCGTGAGCCTCCGAAGGTGCAGATAGGAGAACATGGCAATTTCTGCCTCCGAAGTCAAAGCTGCGCCCTATGCGCCAGGGACAGTCTATCGAGGGGCGCTTCATGTTCACCTGCGCTTCCAGACTGTCTGCCAGACTGAACATACATGACGACGGGATAATCCGTTCGGTTGCTCGGGTGGCCTGACTCATCATGACAGGGTAAAACCTTGGGTGAAGAAATGTACTCATGGTCGCCTTACGCTGCTCGGGATGATCTGCTGGGTACAGTCAATACGGTTGAATACTGGGCAACCCGGGCCGTTATCACCAAGTATCCAGCTCCAAACATTTTCCCTACCCTCCCTAGGTCTTTCAAGAAGTTCGGGTCCAGCTGCAGCTGGTTCTCAACCTCTCAACCTAACTCTTCCAAGCCGAGCATGGCCTACTTGGTCGCCCTTTGGCAATGTGGCAGATCCTCCACGATTGCTCGCTCGCACGCCCTGAACCACAATATGCTCTTAATCTATCGCACATTGCCTAGTAGGAAAGGAACTTGATGTGGCCAAATTGGGTCAGCTTGGCATTTAGATATAAATGCGTAACGCTCGGCCGTTTCGGCCAAAGACGGTTGGTAAAAAGTTGCTTGAACTGACCAGTGAAGCCCTTGATTGGGAAACAGCGAGCTTCTCCTGAATCTGGACTTTCTTCGAACTC